GCACCCCCTGTCTGCACCCTGCCTACATCCCCCCTGACTCCCCCCTGCCTCCCACTTGCATCCCTGCCTGCACCCCCTGCACCCCGCATCCTCCCCGGGAGGTGTGAGATGCTGATGGTGATGGTCTCCCTCTCCTCCCCGTTCTCCACAAGCCCCCGTTACCCCCCCCAGTGTTCCCCTGCGGGAGGTGTTTCACCATCGTTTTCTTTCTCACACTCCCCCCCCCTCCAAACCAGCTTTGCCCCAGTTCTGTGTTTCTCTACCCAGCCCTTGGGGAGCACTTTGTCACCTCGGGGTCTCCGGTGGGAGCCCCACGCCTCCCCTCACCCAGTGCCCGCCCACTCCCTGTGCCATGAGTGTCTCGCTCTGTCCCCAAAAACCGCCCATCCCAAAAAAACCCAAAGTGTGGATAAGGAAGGGAAAAACCAGCGCAGCCGCTGGAAAATCCACCGCTGGAGCCAAGCCCGGGGAAAGCAGAGCTGTGGGTGGGTCGGGCAGAGCGAGGCTGAGGCCTGGCAAACTCAGAGCACAGCTTGATGCTGGGGAGGGCGACGGGCTGCTGAGGGTGGGGAGCCTGACCCTGACCCCGACCCCGACCCTGACCCCCTCCCTCTGTCCCCGCAGACACCCAGAGCCTGTGCTGCCGCCTGGGCTGCCAGCTCTTCCCCAACGGCACAACCCACAGCTTCTACGAGGTGACCCTCAACGGGACAGCTTTCCTCTCCTTCCACGTCCCCAACGCCACCTGGGAGCGGCGCTGGCCCCGCGACGACGCCGTGGCCGCCTTTGCCCAGAGCGAGCTGATGAAGTACTCCGAGACCACCCAGGACCTCCAGTATTTCCTCAACACCACCTGCGTGGACATCCTGCAGGCTCAGAGCGCCGGGACGGGTCTGTGATGGGGATGGTGGTGGTGGTGGTGGTGGGGTGACCACACGGTGGGACGGTGGGGGTGACCCCAGTCATCACCTCCTTCCCTCTTGCCTCTTGCAGGGAAGCAGAGCAGCAGGTCGCACGCCCCGCTGGTGCTGGGCTTGATCCTGGGGACCCTCGCCTTGCTGGGCATGGCCGTGGGGATCTTCTTGTGCACGGGAGGGAGCTGCTAGCACCCTGTCACCTGAGGTCCTGTGTCACCTCGAGGAGGCAGGGGATGGACCCATCGTCACCCCATGGAGGGAGGGAGCGAGCCTGAGCCCCACAAGGGAGGTATCTCCCCAGCACCGTGGGCTTTGCTCCCAAAGGACACCACACCGGTGGCTTCTTTGCCTGGTCCCAGCTGGGTTGACCCCCCCAGCAGCAGCCCCCTGCCTTGGGGACTGTCCCCATGATGCCAGGCTGGCATGGTGCACTGAGACTTAATGGTTGGCAAAGATGGAAAAAAAATGGGGAAGAGGGGTGGTGGGGGTGGGGGTGGTGGGAAAGTGGCAGGAGGAACAGCCAAGGAGGAGTGAAAAGGATGGCACTGAAACCCTGTTTTATCCCTATTGCAGTGGGGAGGAATGCCCGGGAGGGAGGGTGTCACACCTTCGTGGCACTTGGAGACATCGTGTAATAAAACCACCCGCCATTTCTCCCACCAGGCTTGGCTGTTCTCATTCCCCACCAGCAGCACTGATGTGGGGCTGAGGATCCAGCGTGGGTCTGAGGATCCAGCGTGGGGTTGTGGATCCATCATGGGGCTGCAGATCTAGCATGGGGCTGTAGATCCAGCGTGGGTCTGAGGATCCATCACAGGGCTGAGGATCCAGGGATCCAGCGTGGAGCTGAGGATTCATCATGGGGCTGCAGATCCAGCGTGGGGCTGAGGATCCATCACGGGGCTGAGGATCCAGCGTGGAGCTGAGGATTCATCATGGGGCTGTGGATCCAGTGTGGGGTTGTGGATCCATCATGGGATTGTGGATCCAGTGTGGGGTTGTGGCTCCATCATGGGGCTGTGGATCCATCATGGGGCTGAGGATCCATCACGGGGCTGCAGATCCAGCGTGGGGCTGTGGATCCACCATGGGGCTGAGGATCCATCATGGGGCTGCAGATCCACCATGGAGCTGTAGATCCATCATGGGATTGTGGATCCATTGTGGGGCTGTGGATCCACCATGGAGCTGTGGATCCATCATGGGGCTGAGGATCCATCATGGGGCTGCAGATCCACCATGGAGCTGTAGATCCATCATGGGATTGTGGATCCATTGTGGGGCTGTGGATCCACCATGGAGCTGTGGATCCATCATGGGGCTGAGGATCTGTTATGGGGCTGTGGATCCATCATGGGGCTGTGAATCCAGCCTGGGCCTGAGGATCCATCATGGGGCTGCAGATGCAGTGTGGGGCTGAGGATCCATCATGGGGCTGAGGATCCATCATGGGGCTGCTGATCCTTTATGGGGCTGCAGATCCATTGTGGGACTGAGGATCTGTTATGGGGCTGCAGATCCACCATGGGGACAGGCACCCACCGTTGCTGCTGCTGGGTGGGCTCATCGGCGTTGCCACCCCTGTGTCAGACCCTGGGCCATGCACCGAGTTTGCAAGGCCTCAGGAGAGGGGGGGATTGTGCCTCCTGAGCTCATTTCAGCCCACCCACAACTTTGCTTTGACTCAATTAAGTCATTTTTCTAATGAGCCGGTGGTGACCCTCCATTTATTCCTCAATTCCTCGTCTCCACGTGAGACCCTGGGGCTGAGACAGCTCTGAGAGGACGGTTCTTCTGAGCGGGTTGATGCGTTCACCCCCCTTCTGTGAGGGGGACCCCGGAGGGGGATGGGGACGCCGGGTGGGGGGGGGGGCTGATGGGCTGGGACCCCCTGGTTCCCCGAGGAGCAGCTAAGGAGAAGCAGGGCTGTGTCCCCAGCGCTGCCCACCCGCGCTCGTGGCTTCTTCACTTTCCTTTCCTGACGCCCAGAGCTCGGCGAAAAACTGCCCTTTGGCCGTTCAGATTTTGGTTGTGTTAATAATAAATTCTTGGCCGCTTTCCCTTTCACTCAGAGCGAGAGTTGGAGACCAACACCTCCCCTGGTGCTCCCCGGGGGGGCAGGAGGGGCTGGGGGCAAGCGGGGCGCTGGCTTGGGCCACCAGAAGAGGGGACAGCAGAGGAGTGAGGAGCTTTCCTGGATGAACTTCCAGCTCCTTCCTTTCTAAACACCCCTCCCTGCGGCCCAGAGGAGGGCGGGGGGAAGATGGGAAAAGAGCTGCAGGGACAGAAAGGGGATGGGAAGATGACATCGTGGTTGTCCGTAAGGAGGGATGAAGGAGGAGGAGGAGGAGGTCTCCAAAGTCCACATCTCATCACCCTGGCCGCCGGCCACCCCCTGCCTCCCCCGGGGCTGTTGGGGCAGGGGCCGGGGCGCTCCCCACCCTTCAGGGGGCTCCTCCGCGAAGGAGAAATGGCAGCCAAGAGGCTGGAGGATCCAAAACAAGGAGGCTGAGGGACGGGGACGTCATCGCTCGGCCTCTGAAGAAGCGACTTGGCAGGGGCTCTGCTGCGGGCCGAGCACTGCCCGTCCCCACCGCGGGCGTCGGGGGACACCGGGCTGACGCTGGGGGTCAAAGGGTGGTGGGTTTGCTCCCCATGAAGGGGTAAAAATGCTCGTAGCCATCCTCCAGTGAGGAGAAGCACAGAACGGTTGGAATTGGAAGAGACCTTCAAGATCATTCAGTTCCAACCCCCTGCCCTGGGCAGGGACACCTCCCACCACACCAGGTTGCTCCAAGCCCCCTCCAACCTGGCCTTGAACCCCTCCAGGGATGGGGCATCCACAGCTTCTCTGGGCAACCTGGGCCAGTGTCCCACCACCCTCACACCAAACAAGTTCTTCCTGAGATCTAATTAGAGGAACTCAGCTGGAAGATGGTGTTTGGACTTTGGGGCATCTCCTCCTCCTCCACGTTGGAGACAGATGTTGCCCCACGGTCCCAAGATTCTCACACCAAATCCATCCCCCCCTCACCCCCCCACGGTGGGGCTGCAGCTCCTTGCTCTGGTTGGGAGGGCAGAGCACAGATCCCACAGGAGAGCGATGTCCTGAGGCCGGGAAGGTGCTTGTGGACACAGGCTGGTGGCAGGAGACCTAGGGAGGTCTGGAAACCCAGGGAGGTCTGGAAACAACGTGTCATCTTTTGGACAGATGAGGAAGTTTCCACTCTAAGCAGCTCTGGAAAACCTTCTCCCTGCCCCTGCCCCTGCCCCC